ATGGAGGGAACACTTCTCCAGCCTGCTGAATGGCAGTGAACGCACAACGCCAGGAGAAGGCGAACCCGATGCCCCAATCGACGACGATGGAGCAGACGTTCTATTGCCCGACCATGAAGAAGATAGCAATTACTCGCCTTAAGAACAATAAAGCTGCGGGGGCCGATGGATTACCGGTCGAGCAATTCAAACACGGCGGCGAAGCACTGATAAGGACGAAAGCATGCTCAACAATTGGAATTTAAGTGTGCTCTGCCCAATCCAGAAAAAGGGAGACCCCACAATCTGCGCCAACTACCGTGGGATAAGCCCGCTTAACATCGCGTATAAGGTTCTATAGAGCGTATTGTGTGAAAGAATAAAGCCCACTGTCCTTAGACCTGCAAAATCAACAGCCGGCCAGATATTCACCATGCGCCAAATTTTGGAAAAGACCCGTGAGAAGAGATCGAAAGGAGAAAGATCAGAAGGACCTGACTTCGCTATATATACTAGCATCGAAGTATGGAGAAGAATATTCAGAAAAAGTTTTTTAAAAGTGTGCGTCACACCGCCTTAATAAGTTGAATGCATACAAGGAGCGTTTCAAAGTAAACAGGACTTAAAGCAAAAAACAGAACAAATGACTTTTTAGGCAAAATCAATATATTTTATTCGAAATAGTCTCCTTTTGCTTCAATACAGCTTTTTGCACGGGCCAAAAGCATGTGGAAYGAGCGTTTTATCTCGTTGGCCRGTATTGCCGTCAGTATGCCGGTGCAAGCCTTTCGAATGGCCTCTACGTCTAYATAACGCTTCCTTTCATGGGCAAAAGTATTTTTTCGAAAAGAAAGAGTCGTATGGTGCCATATCAGGTGAATACGGGAGCGTCGACCGATGAGAGAATTTTTGTTCGGTCAAAGTGAAATAAATCAATGCTTTCGAGATGTTCAGTTCCATTTCCATATTTCAATTATGATTTTTGATGAATTCACGAACAGTTTCGATGGAATAGTTTTTATTTTTTACATATTCAAAATGTTTGACTGTGCTTTCTTGTTTGTAGGTGCTTTCTTTAGTTATCGTTTGGAAGTCAATTAGCCAAAGGTGTTTGAGAAATTTCCCTTTGATGCTCTTTGTGATCTCAGTTAGCGTTACACTTCACAATTAATGATTCTATCCCTCTTTTGCCTACCTCAAAGTGGGCAGAACACGATTAAGAAATAATGATTGCATTCCACGAACAGCGGTGTGTCGCATCATGACGGTCTCCGCGTGTTCGCCGTTCGCTCAATTGACACATTATAGTGTGAGGTTTGAATGCACATAAAAACATTGGCACGTACGCCTGGATCTGAAAATCGTCGCTAAATGAAACTACCCTGCGGTGCGTTATCAAATCATTGAAACCAATTTTTGCAAAAGATGGGTACTTAAATTATCGGCTTTATTTTGGCAAATCGTTACTTACGAATAAAAACTCGGAGAATTCGAAATAAACTAGAAAGTTTCTTTGGTATAATATAATAAATAAAGGATAAAAATATCAGTAACTTCTTTGAGTCAGCTATAAAAGTCGGTTAATTTTAGTAATAATATTGTAAAGGAATTGATTTCACTACAGGGTATTGTTCAAATACAAGCTCTAAGCTATACTTCTATTTTCAAATTAAAGAAGGATTAAACTTTCTCACCTTTACTCGAATCTATGAAAATTTAATAACATATTAACCCGTTGATTTGTTAAAATATTGTAGTATTCCATTTCCTAATGGGGTGTTATACGTTTCTAGGTATTTATACCTAGGTAGTGTAATTTTTTGTGGGGAAATATAAAAGGGGAGGACCGACTTCAATGTATAAGTAATTTATTAATGTGAAATAAAATGGCATGACTCCCGTTATGTTGTATAGTGGATGGGTTGGTGCGTACTAAAAAAGAATTTCTGGTACGCATATATGTACTTGTGAATGCGAACTTTCCTATATGTCCTGTTTGCCACAAAAATGTTTTTTTACAAAGGTGTCATAAATGAAGATGCAATGGTTTGAATGGGCGTGATTGGTCATGTGTCGATAATTGAATTACGTAATCTATGCGATTAGCTCAGAAACTACGGTCCTGTATTATAACAAGTAGATATTTGATATACAGCGGATCTCGCGTAATAAATTTGTATACTTACCATGTTGCACTGAGCAATACATATTTGTTGGTAAGACATTCCATTAACTTATCTTCTGAAATACTTGAATGTCCGTAGAGAAACTCAATTGATCGCTTGAATTCACCTATTAAACAATAGTATTGTTCAAAACTAAAAAAGGGATGTTTTGGTAGAGAGTAACACCAGACCACACACAGACCAGGGCCACAGACATCTTAATTTGAAAACTATGCTTTCGGTAAGAGGGCTTTCATGAAAACTTAYAATTTCTTATCGATATTTGTGTAAATTTTTTTCTTTAAATGAGAAAAATCCTTTAGTTTCTTTTCTTAATTCTATTTTTATAAAACATATTAATACTATTTTGCCATTTGATAACCTTACTAATTTTATTATTTCTCGCACACTCTATAGCATATGAGGTACTATAAGTATCGCTGAGTGAAGGTCATCGAAACATTTCATAGTTTTTAGTTCTACAAATTATCAGATAATATAATATTTTGATACTGGTATATCTATATATTATATATAAATATTTATAAGTTAAAGTCAAAAAATAAACGCAACATGTTGCTACAGAGTATAATAGTTTTATCCAATTAACGATTGTTTGTATAAACTAATRTTAATTGAGATTGGTATAGAGTTGTATATTATAATACATATATGACCAGGATGACGATACACATGCGCCCTTAATTTGTACTACTTCAGGCACGAAAAAGTATAGTAATTAGACGAAGTCTGTTTATGACCTGCAATCAGAGTTGCAAATTAAAAATTTATTATCTTATTTTTAATACCAATTACTGGATTGAAAAATAAAATTATGAAATTCCAAGCATATAATAAAAAATTAATACAAAAAAAAAGCTTTGGAACAAACTTGAGACCTTCATTCAAATCAAAAAGTAATTTTTTTAATTTGCAAAAAATGAAAATTTAATTTATMCTTTAGACTAATGAGTATTATTTGTTTATATCTAATGCTGTCTGACGGCTGTAAATATATTAGTTTAAATCAATTAATTTTTTTAAACCATTTTCATAAAGTTATAGAGAGTTATAAAGATAATCTTCATTCAAGTTTATCGTACACTGAATTTTGTATGCGATGTATAGTTATGGAAGAAACATATGCACATAAATAAAAGCTTGTCTTTGACAGTCAATGTTCTTAATTGACTTTTTGGCTGTTAAATATTCAAAACCTGTGAGCTTATTTTTCACGCCCATACATCTAGGCATTTATATGTATTTCGTAATGTTTACTATTTTAATTATTATTGTGCTACAATGTGTATCGCTCTAATATCCAGGGATAATCCTTCTCTCTCAAGTATAAAACTTGACGCCTTCTTCGGTTTAACTCAATGAATAGGCTTATAGGGTTTGAACTATTTGCCGTGACGGATTTATATATGTATATACTGGCTTTATCATAATTAAGTAGGAACTTAAATTCATACTCAAGATGTAGATCTTGAGATTTATCGTTTGCAGCTACCGTAATGAAACGTAATGGTTTCGATGACTGCTTTCCGTAAGGCGCGACGACTTTGCTACCTTCATTGCGAAATTCGGTCCCTCTTGTGGACTTCCGCGAAAAATGCGCGTAATAAACGCACTGTCGCCAGGCAGCAATAACAACAGTGGTGTAGGTAGCGTCCACACGAGMAAATTCTTTAATTATTCACAAAATACACCTCGAGCATTGGGTTAGTAAGTTTACAAAAGAAATAGATTTTTACTGACAATAAAAGAATCCCTAACAAAAGCTGTGGGTATTTTCCCAACAATTTTGGAACAAGATGAAATGTCATTGTTGTTATCTACCGGGTTCGAAAAACATCAGTTCCATGTACATGCATGATACATATGTACATACGTCTACTAAGTATTCTTCTTTTAGCTTCGAAACTAATGATATATGTACATATGTATGTATATGTGCACTTCGCTGCTTTTACACTTTGTTATTTTAAAATTTTGACAATGTTCTTTAGTATTTATGATTATTTCAATTAGCTGAAGTACGAAAGCGATACGTTTCCCATTTCAAGTCCTTTGAAAGTCTCTCTATTTTGGCATTCATTTTAATTATCAACCGTGGGAGGTAGTCACAATATATACATATGAACAGTGTTGGAAGCGCATTGTATTTAGTCAGTACGAGCGTAAGCCTGGCCTCGAAAATCTTTAGTAGTATTTGATTTGACCTTGGAATACAGCGGCGTAAAGCGTTGAAAATCTCGCGCTAATAATGGCCTCTGCACGTACAAGAACATCGTTTATAAGCAATAAAGAGCTCAGCAGGTAGGAGTGCAAACATTAGCTATTGTTCTTGGACAAAATCTCATGTGTCTATCCGAGTTTTACACTCCGACTTCCACCGTTTCTTGAGTCGACATAGATATTATCCGTTCGGATAAAAATTTCTCTCAACAAAAATAGTACAGAAAAGTGCAATACATTTTTCTTGACCTGACCCTCTTTTTGTGATTTTGCAATATGTTTCCACCCCTTGTAGGTAATGGTGTATAGACTAAGTGAGTGTTTTCAGCATAGTCTATGAGGGGAATTTGTACTCAATCGGCTTCATATTTGGATGGTCGAACGCGCACAGCATGTGTCGAAAATGTCATGCGAAGGGATATTTATGTGCTATGACGAGCGAAACGGTGCAACAACAATGATATGAACAGAGTATGAGCTGTACTAACAACAACAAATTTCAGGGAAGGTCGTGTGCCAAAATAAAGGAATAGAATAAGCACGACATTAGAAAAAAAGACAGGCAGAAGAGGTTTCGAGGGTATTTTAAGCTGGATCAGACACATAAATCCCACATTTGCTAAAGTAACTTCAACAGTATCACATCGTTGCAAACGTTATCTCGCTAAAAAATATAAATATACGTGATTTTAGTTATATGTATTAAAAATATGGCCACTACCAACTATTACGCTGAATACGCAAACAACACAATGATGACTCAGCAACAAGCGTATGCTTACAGTGGATATTATAGCAACAGTATGCCTTATTACGATACAACCAGTAGTAACAACTTTATGCACAATCACGCCCGTTTTTCTAAGGTATATCACCCCAGCTATGATCAATTCAAATCAAATCAAGTGAAGACTGCAGAACAAATATATGATGGTGAAGCATGGAATTATAACAACACAGCATCTGCAGAATCATACTGCCAGTATATTGGTTATAAAAATACGGCGAATCAAGAAAATTCCGACGTGAGTAAGGATGAAGCGAAGAACAGTCCTGTTGTTGTCGCGGATTTAAATACATTTGAGGATAAACAAACTAATCAACCAATTAAGCGAAAACACTTTGAATGCGAGGAAAATTTGTCACAAGAGACAGAAAAACCCAGCACTTTACGTTCCTTACTTACCAATCCTGCAAAGAAATTGAAGTATAATCCAAACTATTTTTTTACCACAATGGAGAAGGTTAGTTGCCCAAATAAACAGTCAACCAGCAAATGCAATTTAAATTCAATGAGTGATAATGGAACTGGTTACCCAGTCAGTGTACCGCCCAGTTTGAACCAGGATATTGCCGCCGACGGCAGTGGTATGTCGACACCTTCCACTCATAGTACACTGCCATCGCCAAGCCGAACAGAAATTAGTTATTTGGAAGCATACTCTCCACAATCTTTGAAACAATTGAATCATGGTAAAACTGGCGATTATCTCACACCACCTCCATCAAATGCATCTGCAACTTTGCCGACAACTACAATAGATCCGCCATCGTTGGCAATCGCATCAGCTGTTGCTGAACCAATAAAAACCACTCTCCCCACAAACACATCTCACGTAAATGGTATTAGCACACCACCCTTGTCACCGCATGATCAAACTGTCAATCACCATAAAGAGCAGCCATTGCAATTGCAGCAACATGAAATCAATCATCAAATTTTGACAGATACAGCAGCAGAGTATAATTGGTCCCTCTGTGAAGACAATTTGCCAGCAGGTAAGCATTTGACAATCTCCTTTCATGATATATTTTATATAGCTACAGTCATTTATATATTATTTGGTTATTTTATTTATTTACTAATTACTAATATTATTGTTGCTATTATTTATAGACGGTAAAGACTCAAAGCGCACTCGTCAGACCTATACACGTTTCCAGACGGTGGAGTTGGAGAAAGAGTTCTATTCGAATCGTTATATCAGCCGCAGTCGCCGTATTGAAATTGCCAATGCGTTATCGCTCACTGAACGTCAAATAAAAATTTGGTTTCAGAATAGGCGCATGAAATGTAAGAAGGACCGCACCCTCGAACCCGCCACRCCAGAACTACACGGTCTTCCACATTACCCAACCACTAACTCTGAAGCTTGTCCACCTGCTCAACCATCTTCTCAAGGACAATATTTGTACTTGGGCGCCCAAACCAACGGGCCCATTCCGCCAACTTATTCAAACTACATGGCTGGTGGTCAAGGATATTCACCAAACGCAATGAACCCTTATCCAGCACAGGGCACTTTTCCACATTGCGGCCAAATGTATGGTGCCGGATCAGCAGGACAATCAATATACAATCAAAATCATCATCAGTATCCACAGCAGCCACCATATCTATTGGCTCAGCAATATCCACCGCATACCTACCAGAACCAGCAGCAGCATTACCTCCAACAGCGCCAGCATAAACAACATTTAGATGAACCAATACCTACACAACAACTGCAACAGGTATTGCCTTCACAACAGCAGCATCCACAGCCCATGGCAAACTCATCAGCAGGATCCTCGATGTATTTGCCGTAGAAGCCAAAGCGTGGTGATCCACGAAACACACAGTTGACTGTGCGGTACTCAGAGGGTGCATGGACGCACAAACATTTTGGTTTTCTGCCGTTTAACTATGATAGATAAATGGTCAAAGAAAAACCGATTTTTGAGGGATCGCTGCGATAGTACACAAGCAGATCTCCTGAGGACTTGTGTGCACAGTAAAGTAGAAATGCGTTAAAACGAAAAAAAAAACACACTCATAGGAACTTCTGTCAAAAGGTTGACGTTTACCGATTACGCTCGCTCTGCCTGAGTAGAAAGTAGACGCAGGATGGGTTAGATAGCGTTTTGAGTAAAGTTTTCAGCTGCTATGTTACAGCAGTAAAGCGGGTGGCAGTCGCGCTAAAAAACTATAAATTATTAGAGTACTCTATAGGATTGTATCGCGAAAATAACACCTGAATGAGAGCGGTTTTCCGATAGCGGAGCCGCCTAGTTGTACTAGCACTAGATTGTGCATTGTGATGAAAGCTGAATCATATAAAAAATGTAAAACATATATGTATATAGACTTACCTGATTGATATTAATATATAAGCAAGTACTATTTATAATGAGTTCTTTATTTTAAATAAAAATCATATAACTTTAAGTAATGCTAGAATTTGGAAATTTTTAATTGTCAGGTAAAGGTTAGCCCWGGGAAAAATCATCCCTAGAATGTTGCAATTAATACACATGCAGTTAACCCCTACGCAAATAGTCGCACGTTAATACGTACAAAATTTTGTGAAATCACAACAGCTGCAACGATTTCCCCCCTATCGCCAAAATTTTTCATCAATAAATTCTACTTTTCGAAACAAAAACTGTCACATTTTGGCTACCCTAAATAAATATAATTCAATGCATTTTGCACAAGGCGTTTGTCCTGCACTGAAGTGATCGGGCTTATATGCACCACCATCAAATATCACCGTGCAGGAACGCGTGCCCTAACATGTGTCTGCAGGCATAAACACACATTCGTGTAGGTACGATTGCTGGTAGCACACATTACCTTTTCTATTGAATTACATACTTTCAACATTGATTGCTCATTTTTCATTTTGAGCCCAAATGTTCTCTGAGCATTACAGCAGTGTGTTCGCAATGACGTGTGTTTACTCTTGAATGAATCTGATAGTTGACTTAAGGCGAATCGATAAAATTGTCAAAAGACGGGAGGAACAATCCATATGCGCGTCACAGAGACTTTAGTTGCAGTTGTCGTCAAACTAATTAAATTATTAAGCATTAATTTGATTAATTTAATATAATAATAATAATCTAATTTTTAAAGCTATATTAAAACAAGTAAGGAAGAGCTAAGTTCGGGTGTCACCGAACATTTTATACTCTCGCATGATAAAGTGATAATCGAGATTTCAGGCGTGGTTGGGAACCGATTTCACCCATATTTGGTACATGTCATCAGGGTGTTAAGAAAATATTATATACCGAATTTCATTGAAATCGGTNGAGTACTTCCTGAGWTATGGTTTTTGGTYCATAAGTGGGCGACGCCACGCCCATTTTCAACTTTTAAAAAAGCCTGGATGCAGCTTCTTTCTGACATTTCTTCCGTAAAATTTAGTGTTTCTGACGTTTTTTGTTAGTCGGTTAACGCACTCTTAGTGATTTTCAACATAACCTTTGTATGGGAGGTGGGCGTGGTTATTATCCGATTTCTTCCATTTTTGAACTGTAAATGGAAATGCCTAAAAGAAACGACTCTRTACAGTTTGGTTGACATAGCTATAGTAGTTTTCGAGATATGTACAAAAAATWTAGTAGGGGGCGGGGCCACACCCACTTTTCCAAAAAAAATACGTCCAAATATGCCCCTCCCTAATGTGATCCTTTGTGTAAAATTTGATTTTAATATCTTAACCTTCTTATGGAGCCAAGAAATACGTGTACCAAGTTTCATCATGATATCTCAATTTTTACTCAAGTTACAGCTTGCACGGACAGACGGACGGACGGACGGACGGACAGACAGACAGACAGACATCCGGATTTCAACTCTACTCGTCACCCTGATCACTTTGGTATATATAACCCTATATCTAACTCTTTTAGTTTAAGAATTTACAAACAACCGTTATGTGAGCAAAACTATAATACTCTCTTTAGCAACTTTGTTGCGAGAGTATAAAAAAATATCCAGACCTTCATCCGAAAAATATTATAAAAAGTCTCTGCAATTAAAAACTAGAAGCCGTCGCTTGCGCCGAAATTATAAATCCCTTAACAAATAAAAAAGTTTCCGTACAAAAATTTCACTTTGATTGATCGGTGCTATAGAGTTCCAATCTGACAATAATCCATGTCGAATTTCGTGAAGATACCTTGTCAAATAATTAAGTTTTCCATACACGACCTTGATGTTGATCAATCAGTTTGTATGGAACTATATGCTATAGAGGCGCGGTATCGGTGTTCCTGATAAATGAGCAGCTTCTTGCGGAGAAAAAGGTGTGAGAAAATTTCCAGAACGAAATTCGAAGCACCACGGACTAGTTCACATGTAAAGATATGTATAGACACACTAATGCTAAAACGACTCAGATTGTCGTTGTTGTATATATTAGGGTATCTTTTTTTTTATACTCTCGCAACAAAGTTGCTAAAGAGAGTATTATAGTTTTGTTCACATAACGGTTGTTTGTAAGTCCTAAAACTAAAAGAGTCAGATATA